GATATCCCCTTTATAGGAGATATACCATTTTCCAATCTGCTTTCCATTAGTATACTAACCACTATATGTGATCTATCTAAATCTATAAAATTGTTATTAAGGATACGATTAATAATCATCATCCAAATCTATCCATGTCCCATTTTTTAATCCCTATTGATTATATACTCCTCCTCCTCTTTTATAATAACGTAGTTGTTAATTACTTACAAACTCTTATTTTTTTAATGTGCTTTCCACTTTCCACTCTTTTGACCTTGAGTATATATTCCCTCTTGAAGTATTTCCCTTAAACTAAGTTAGGAGATTAATTAACCTATAAAAATTTTATATTGGTTCTATCCATTTTCCTTTTTTTGTGCCATTCTAATCATATTGACCTCCACCTCTAAATTAATATATAATAATTGATATTAAACATAATTAATCCTTTATAGTATATATCCCATGGTCCTTATTTTTTCCCATCCTAATAAATCCCAGATTTAATCATCTGTTTTGAACTATTGTACAGATTTACATAAATTTTAACTTGTAATAATCGTCTTCCAAATCTATCCATTTTCCTATTTTTTATCCAATTTAATTATATTCCCCTTTACCTCTAAACTTATCAATGCTAAGCTTACATAATTGATTTAAAACGAATAGCTTCCCATTTACCTGACTTTATTCCTTTATTATATTCTCCAACATAAGTAACCTGCTTAATACTAATAAAATATTTAAAAAGGAATTACTTGCAAAAACCACTATCTAAATCCTCCCATTTACCATTCTTTAATCCTTCTTCATTATATTAACCACCTCCTCTAATAATTAAAAAAATTAATACATAATATTTCCAAATCTCATAATATTCCATTATCCTTATTTTTTTCCATTTTTATATTCTCCAACGTAAATCACCTGTTTCTATCTAATTATATTAGAGTAAGTTACTCTCTAAATTATTGATCCAACTCAATCCAATTGCCAATCTTATACCCAGATTCATTATATTATCCCTCTCCACTAAATTGAACAATATGAATACATTCTCTCTCCTTTATAAGTAGTTATCCATTTTCCTGATTTGATTCCTTTGTGGTAAACACCTTTGCATAGAACATCAATATATCTAATGATAACTCAATTGAAACCTTTTGAAATTGTCATTTAACTCTATCCATTCTCCATTTTTAAGACCTTCATCAGTATAAATTCCACCACCACTGATCAATAGATTTTCATTATTACATCGTTTATCCTCTGTAAACATAGTCCCATTATTATATTTTAATTCCATTGAAATAACTTCCCACTTCAGCAACATAATTCATTCTAAAGTAGTACTTTAAATAGTTACGAATTGAAATTGTTAATAACATCTATCCATTTCCCATTTTTCATACCATACATATCAAAATTACCGCCTCCACTAAGTTTAGTATAATTACTACATAATAGTCCCATTTAAAATAGTAAGCCAGTGTCCTTTTTTGATTCCATTCACATATTCACCAACATATATCCAATTTAATTGTAAATGGCTAATAAGGTTTATGGTATCTAATTCTCTTACTCCAACAAATTTAATCATCTTATATCTGTCCATTAACCAATTTTTCAATCCCATTCTGGTCGTATTAAACCTCCTCCCACTAATTAAAATTATCAAAAATATTTATCTAACATGATTTCCCTCTAACAAATTGTATTCCAATATCCTTATTTTTTATCATTCTTATAAACACCTGAATAAGTTATTTAATTCCAACTTTTAATACTAAAATATAATCACTTATTAAAATTGTTATGAAGTTCAGTCCAACTCCCATTTTTCTTTTCATTCTCATCAAACAATCCATCTCCACTATGAATTTATCTTATATATTCTACATAATCTGACCATTAAACATCGTTTACCATACCCCTTATTTTATTCCATTTTTATAATTTCCAATATGAAAAACTAGACAATAGCTAATTTAAATTAATAGCAACAAAAACAACTCGCTAAAATTTTGATCTAACTCAGCCCATGCTCCAATTTTATTTTCGAATTCATCATAGTCTCCTCCTGCTATCAATTTCTCTCCTTTCCAATATGCAACCCATTTGCCTATTTTCTGATTATTATTTCCATAATTTCCCTCCCAGTTCAAAAATTATAGCTATTCAAGATTTTCGATGTTTTGATGTTTAATAATTTACCTTCTTAATTTATTACCTATATATAAATAAAAATAATAAGAACTTTCTTATTATTTAGCCATTATATATTACAGTCTGAGTTCCATTTTTCGAATATTCAATTTATAGTTAGACAATCCCAAAAAATTATCTATATGAATATGGATTATGATATGCTAATTTTCCTTGCACTTTAAAAACTCCTTCTTTATAAGCAAAATTTTCTGAATTATTCTTTTCTTATTAAATTTGATGTTATTATTATCTCTATTTTTCGAATCTCCACTCTTATATTTTTTTCATCTTTTCTAGGTCATATAATTAAAATATTATTTATCGATGATCATAACTTTAAACAGAAATTTAGATTAGTAAATATAAATACTGTATGAATTCTGATTATCATAGTTTATAATGATTCATCAATTAATTTGTATGAATTTAAAGTTTTGTTTATCTTTCAAATATAAAGCTTCATGTGATTCTACTACTATTTGTATAGAAAACAACATTTAAGATATATAAAAAAGGATATACATTTGGATTTCAAATTCTAATATTTACAAAATGTATATATCAGTATAATTTTGATATTACTTACCAG